CTGCCTTGTCCTGCCTTGTGCGGTTTTCAAGCTGACCCGACCTGCTTTGTCATTGAACATGGGCAGCAACCAAGTGGGGTAGAGCAGAGGATCCACAAAAATGTATATAGTTTGCACCTATATATATAATATATATTCATATGTGTGCTGGAGGTCATGCATGGGAAGCTTTCAGAAGTGGGTTGAAATGCCGGCATTGCAAGATACGCTATCACTGCAAGAGTCTGTTGGCCGACCTAAACAAAGTAGTGGACAAGCCATGTCAGGCTGGCGTCAAGCCCCAAGCCCCTCGGCAGACAAGGATGGAGATGATTCATGCCCTTGTGGCGGCCCAAGCCGGCCCTCAGGAAGGAGTGCATCATTTGCACTTAGACCGAGCGTACCTACGCTGCAAGGTCTGCAAGAGCTACATTTTAGCTCGAACGAATGAAGAAGCATTCTCCAGGTTCGTGGGAGAACCATGCTACCACGGGCCACTGGAACCTCGCCTATGGAATGGACACGTTTCTCACACCATGGTGAGAACCGGGCAGGCAATCGAGTGCAGCAGGTGCCATGCGAGGTCAAGGGTGGCAGATGGTGTGGTCCAACTGACGACGAGATTGCGGAGCCGATGTGTCTACATGCAGAGTCGAGACCTGCGACAAATGTTCGCCTGAGAAGAGCGGAACCCCAAAAAGGCGTGCAAAAAAAAACAGAATCATATGTGCGCGTGTCTGTGTGTATATATGATTTCTAAAACTATACATATGCATGGTGGGTGAAAAGGAAAGATAACGGGTGGTTTACTGCAAGCTTTGGGGTCGGGAGTGGTGCGCAGTTTGTCCACGGCGCTTCAAAGCCGGAATCCTATCCTGGATGTCTGGAATGTTGGGCGCTGTTTGGGCTGGGGGTGGCGCGCGGTCTGAAACCGGAATTCCATCGTCGCTGTCTGGAAACTCGCTGGCTCTGTTGACGGGGTTGCAAACGGGAATTCCATCTTTGGATTCGGTGTTCTCTGGAACCGATTCTACCTTTGGCAGGCAGCGCAAGCAAACAAACATAATTGTTGGAGATATAGTGAGATTGCGATTGTGGTGGCAGGGCTTAGAGCGCCACCTTGTAACCTGGCTCAAGGGCATCGTTTTGCATTGTAGTTTGTCCCGACCTGCATTTGTCAATTGAAATGGGCGTCCGAAATCCAGAATTCCTCCCTACGCGTTGCGTTGGAACACTTGCTCGCGCCACCCTGGAACCTTGGAATCTTTGGCGCTGTCACCTTGGCGCTAGTGTTAGGGGCTGGGTTCAGAATGGTCCCTTCAAACGTCGTCAGGTGCGCGACGGAGGCGCACCGCCAGCGCAAAAGCAGTCGCCGACAAAATTTGTACTGCTAGGTACAAGCAACAGCCTGCTTCCTGTGCGAACAACATTTTTGCTCTGCTTGGAAGGACTGCTTCGTAGCAGCGACACATAGCAGCATAGCACACTAAAAGGGAACAAGTTGTTGCGGTTGCAGAAACGTCCTGCTAAGTACGCGCAACTGCCCGTGGCATGCGGCCCGTCAAGCTTTTGGCATCCGTGCGGAGGCAAAATGCACAATGCAATCGCAAAAGCTGTTGCTGGTGCAGAAAACTTCCTTGGATGTGGCCTTGCTGCGCATACAACATGTTTGGTGCTGTGGCGGGAGATGGCTTTGTAGTGGAGTGGAGACAGAAAGCACACCACAAGTGCAGAAACTGTTGTAGTTAAGTTGCAGAAACGCACTGGACATACACCACAAACTATGATATAAAAACTATGATATACTTAGCGCAGCAATGCCACAGGCAGTTGCGTGTACCTAGCAGCACCTTTCTTCATCGGCAGCAGCTTTTGCACTTGTAGCGTTCTAGGCGCATCTTTGCCACGCGCAGCTACCTGTGCTTGGCAGGACGCCTCGTCTACGCAACAGGTTCTTCCGCTGCACCTACAAAGCGATCTCTCGTCGCAGCGCCAAAGATGTTGCACGCGCAGCACGGCCACAGGTAGTTGCGCGTACCTTGCAGAAAGGCTTCTGCGCCGGCAACAGCCTATGCACTTATTTGTTGTTTCTGCAACCGCAACAGCTTGTTCGCTCATAGTGTGCCATGTGTCGGCCGTTACGAAGCAGTCGTCTTTGTGGCGCACCTCCTGCCTCCATCGTGGAGCACTCATTCTACACACCATAGCTCTTTGCGTACCAATGCCGCAGGCTTGCGTGCACCTAGCAGGATGTTTCTGCACCGGCAACAGTGTGCGGCAAGCCAACAGGCAGTTGCACAGCAGGATGTTTGAGCGCTGTTGCACTTGTGGTGTGCTGTCTGCAACCTTCGCAGCAACCTTAGTGGGACCAATAGCGTGGCAGGTGTTTGTACGTACTTTGGAACACGCCTTCGTGGTGGGAACGACGTTTTTGTTCTGATACGCTTTCCTCCTGCCTGCTGAGGATCCCAGTTCCTGCTCCCGTTTTTGTTCCCCAGTTCTTGCTCCCCAGTTCCCTTTACATTTCAAAAATCGATTGGGGTTGCATTGGAGCTCTAGCAACGCATGGACGTAGTCCAGTCAATTGAGTTGCTACCTGCCTGCTGTTGGGAAGGGGAGGGAGGCCACTAGAAAAGGAAGAGGAAGAGGTAGCTACATTAGCTATTGAGTAAGCTATTAGGTACTGGACGCTCCTAGCAACTGGGCGCAGGATAGCTCGCGCTCGCACTATTCATGTGGTTCCAAGATGTTTAGGGCGGTTGATGATGATTGATGCATAGACTCTGTTGCGTTTTCATTGTGACAGAAGGCATCTGACGGAAATTTGTCGAAGGAAGACAAATGGTGTCAGCTGGCCGGGCCGAACTGAAAAATGAAGTCCTCTGCATGGCTCAGCGGCTGATTAAAGCGCGGATCCGGTAGAGCAGCTGCTCGGTCTCCCATGCACCTCACACATGAAATGAATGAAAGACCTGTCATGTAAGCTGTGACTCGAAGACATTGGTGCTGTCCAGGCCGCCAAAAAAGTCTGGAAAGTCCAGGAGATAATATCGCGTTACCCTTCTGATTAAAGATCTTCAGGGCGTTCAAGACTATCTCTTCCCATGTTTGCACTGCAATTTTGCAATACATCCTTTTCCAAGGCAGGCACTGCAAGTCCAACAGTTGCTGCTGGATGGGCAGCCTTTGGAATCCATGGGCAGCTGTTGCTTCTACGCGCGCGTACGTCGCACGAAACGATTTCGGCGTCTCAGGTCGCGGCTGCAAATGCGGCGGAGTTTGCGGCAAAAACTGCGGCTGTGGTACGATCGGCCTAGAGGACGGATACTGCGATGGCCTGGCAACGGTGCTCTCAAAGCAGGTCCCTTTCCAAATGCGACTGCTCCAGAGACTGATTCATGCGAATTTGGAGTTATGATGGGAAAAAATGGTAGAAGAGGAGCAATAGCCTAAATGAATACACACGCATGTGATCCATGCACATATATATAAGCAGTGACACAGGCGTGTAAACACAATACAGCCTCATCCACAACCAATCCATGAAACTTTACCAAGGAACAGATCATTGCTGCGGAAGGGTTGCAAACCTCAATTCGCAGGGATCAATCCGCAAGGACGCCGCGACTGGGCGGGCGCATCCGCACTCCTTTACCACCAGTTGAGCCAAGCCACCAGGACCGGGCTGTGTCCCAGGAAGGTTCATCTCCTGCGCATGAGGCTCCAATCTCTCGACTCACGGTTGGAAAATTGGCCAAAACTATGCAAGTGTCCACATAAACCACCATATCACGTATGGCAAGCTCAAGAGGGCGTTGCGAAGCTCAAATGTCCAGCCTGCTGCGGCCAGCCGTATTCATTCCAAGCCTCTCAGGCTCACACAAACAAAGGCAAGCCCAAAGCTGGTTTTAATAATGCTAATGCTAGACCCAGGCCAGCAGTTTGTTCCACTGCTTCGTTCTCAAAAGCCACAAGCTTCGCAAGCTTCCCATGTACGCTCAATTCTGTGTTATAAGAGTGACTAAATTGCATTTAATTGCCAAACACTACTACTATTCGCTCAAGATACCACACATATCGAAGCTTCATCGCTTCCACACACCGGCCTGGGAGCTGCTTGAGCTGTTGCTGTTCCACTTACTCCGAGGCGCTTGTCCCTGCATACGGCGGACTTGGGCATCATCAAATCGGATGTCTTCCAGTGGTCACTGATCACTTGCAGTTGGGAGTCTTCCAGTGTCTTCCCCGTGAATTTCACAAAAGACATCAATGTGGATTGTCTGTCTGTGTGGGCGTGTGTGGTTGGGCAAAACATTTAACTTCTGCTTCGTTCCATACTGTGCTTGTACAGCCCAGCATCTTGCTTCGCACTGAATGCTTAAATGAAGAATGCAAATCAATTTGAGCAAAGCAAAACCACGAGGAATGCAAACCGGAAGAAGTCGGACAGCAGTCGGGCAAAAGTGATGCCAAAAGCTGGCCGGTGGCCACCTACTTCAATTGGTGTTCAATTGCAGGCCGATATGAACCCTTGCAATCCCCGAACAGGTGGAAGGGCTGTCGAGCCGAAATGTTTCGTCTTCCCGGCCTGTCTTGGCACTCGCCTGGCAGTTGAGAAGCCACGAGTGATTTGCTAGTGTTGTCCAAAACTCTGCTCCCACTTGCAAATGGGAAGACTTTGTTGGAACTGTTGGAACTCTTTACCTTCAAGATGACCCTCACCGTATTTCACTATCATCCCTATGACAAGCAGAGCGCGTAACAACCTGCGGTCCATGCGCCACGCGCAGCCGACGCACGTGTGCCTGGAGGCGGCCTCTCGTTCGGTGCCTCGTTGCAAATGGAGCGTCCAATCGCTCGTGGCGACACCGGTGCGGCACGATGTGGAAAAAGACGCCAAACCGAAAAAGTAGATCTCAGTTGGGTATGTCCCAGTCCCAATAACAGTGGATGATGGATGATGGTTATTTCTAAGGACTTTCTCATAGAGACTGAGATAATCCTTAATCCTTGATCGACTGTTACAGGTAATGGAACACACCCAAGATCTCAGTGCAATCATAGCATCCCTCTTCCAACTGTCCCAGGCCGGGTGTGATCATGGCCGGCAGTTGTTCATTGACATAGCTCCGGAGCTCCAAGCGTTGTGGATTCAATGAGGCTACCGGTGGAATCTCAAAGCTCTCCTCTTCCAAGACCTTCTCTGGAAAGTCAACCTGGCAAAAGAATCTTCGAGTCCAGTGGAAGCTTCTTTTAGGGAGACCCCGTTCAGGAACCCACAGGAGTCCACCAAACCCTGCAGAACTAGAGACTTCAAGCCTCCGTTGTGGTTTCTTTACACCTTTAGCTTTGGCTGCTTCACTTCCTCGTGTTCTTTGGGGTATCCTTTGGCTGCACCACGCCGCAGCACGTCTCGCCTCGCTCTTCAGGACGTACTTGGTGGAATTTTTGCCGCCCACCTTCTCCACCACTGGGATGTTGGCCAACAAACCTTTCACGTCACGATAGCCGTAGTCCTTGCACTGCAGCTTCTCGTGCGGGAAGAAGCAATTCCACAAATCCCTGTCAGGTTTCTGGAAAACTGTGGACAACATGTGGGGATGCTGCTCGCCAAACAAGTGCATCTAAGGACAATATTCCCATGAGGCCCATACACACAACTTGCTATCGCCAAGGAATCTCAGCAGTTCGCAAAACCTGCATTATGATATCCTGTCACAGCAGGTTTTACCAAAGAATTCAAGTAAGCCGTCTCCAAAAGATCTATCTATTGCTTTACATGATGTAAAGTGATCATTCGCTCTATTGTACCACAGAGAAAGTCAATGCTCTTAGAATTTTAGATAAGCAAATTGCCCAGGGTGGGGACAAGCATGGTTCCGACTTAAAGGCGTTGAGTCGTCCGGCAGATCCTAGTTTCGTCGTGGCCTTCCTTCTACCCAGGCAAGCTAATTCTAAATGCAAAGTCACTCCTGTTACAGACTCTCCAAGCACATCCAGTTTCTTAGTAGGGTAGAATTAACCTTTCGCACAGTCCAAATCCAGCTCACACCCTTTGCTAGCCAGTGAATCTGGACTTTGGGACTTCCAGTCGGAAGGCGCAGGGAAACACCTTGTGGAGCTTGACTCTAGTCCGACTTTGTGATAACTCAGTGTGGCACAAGTGGCATAGCTGCTGGAAATACTATATACCACTAGTTTTGTCAAGCCGAAACTTGCATCAAACAAGTTCTTGCTTTGAGGCTGCCTACTTTAGGAGCGTATCTGCTTGCAAAGCGCGGATAAAGGGAGAAGAGCTAGCGACCGATGTTAAGACATGTTAAGACTGAGTTTAAGCGACCGAGCAGACCAAGCAGGCGAACATGGCCTGAAGTTCTTGGCCGGAATCTCGCGAGAGCCACAACGTCTAAACACCTCAATGACCTTTTGCTGGAAACTCTCTGGCACTGGCTTGGGCTGGTCGAAGATAGGTAAGTCCTGAGGTGTGACGGATATCGTGTCATATGAGATCCCGCTCACTGTGATTGAGAGATGCTACCGAAAGCCGGTCCTATCCGGAATCTGTTTCCCGGAGCTCCCATCCTCCATTATCCTCCCATCCCGGTCCTCTCGCCCCACCAACAAGTCGTCGCAGAAGCGTTCAAAGGCATCGCGGTCTCCCAATTTCAGCTCCATACGATTCCCTGCACCGATCAAGGACAGGCCGGCCACGTCAGTCAAGAAGTTATGTAGCTTCTCGTAGCCCGCCTCCTGATTTCGGAACACCGGAAACTGCCAGAAACTATGAGAGATGGCATCATGACGGCCTAAATGAACAATCACATGGATTGACTTTGGTCTCACTCACGCTCTCTGGCCTTGTATTGAAGTGCCTCACCATTGTTCCGAAGCTTGAAGAGATTATTGATTTGAGACATAAGCAGCTGCCGCTCTTGGAAGAGATCTTCCTTAAAACATTGCACAAAGAGCGTCTTGACTGACCTTTTTGTCTCATCAAACTTTCCCTCTGACTTCACTGAGCCCGTAGGGGAGCGGGGAGAGTTGCTTTGCACCATACCAGGCGCCATCGGCGCGGTTGGTGTCAAGATCCCCGGGGCCAGCGGGGAGGTGGGCGATCTGGGGCGAGACTGGGTCTCATCGGTTTGCACAAGAGCTGGAGGCTGCTCCAGGGGCTCTGGAGGCTCTGGGGGCTCTGTGATGGTGATCGAGAGATTTGGGAGATTCAGGAGAGGCTCCTCAGGTGGCGCCTCAGATTTGGGCCAATACATCGGTAACATCAGCAAGAGATTGCATGGGAAGGTGCGAGTGCCCCTGATGCAAGACTACTTTAAAACTTTAAAGTTTGGTCGTTTTCTCTGTGCCTCTAGTACTGGCGTTGGCTTGGACACGACCTCAGCCACAAAGGCCTGCGTGCTTGCAGGGGCCAGCTGCTTCTCTACCTGTCACATTCCAAGTGAGGAGCCACAAAACAGAAAACGTGTGATCCTCAATTAACTCCATGGCACTAGTATAGTCTCCTGGACATCATATCATTCCAATAACCAGTCAATTTAACTGTATATGTCAGCAAAGACCCCAAACAGTTTCAGCCTGATTTTTTGCTGGTAACATCTGTGTTGTGAATGGCATGTAAACAACAAAATTTTAGAAAACTATGGTTCCTGATTCACGAGGTCACATGTGTAACGCGAAGGGATATTATGTAATGAGAAAATCCGGGGATGATATCAAGAGCTGCATCACTGTTGCATTCATAGCCCACACGAAAGCATACCTGGACAAGGCAATGGAGAAAGGGAAAGCGGTGGCCAAGCACGGGATAAGGACGGGACAAAGCGATAATGAAAGGGTCGACAACAAGGACAAGCAGAACAGACACGGACAAGGCCTGGACAAATCACTCACAAAGCGGAGACCCACGGCACCCGGCCCACAGCGCGGCCAATCAGGACACACGGACCCAGACAAGGCCTGGACAAGGACCGGACGAGGCTACTAAACTGTTTGGGGGAACAATGGGGGGACACAGCCCGGCCAGAGTGACAGCAGGAGGACACCAAGAGGACAAAAAGAGGCCACACATATTGCACAGGATTCACGAGCGCCAGAGGACAACTGGAGTACAACACCCAGCCACAGATTTATATAAGTATCTTTTTCACAAGGACACAGGGTTCGCAAGTGTAGCAGGAGGACACCAGAACAAACAAGAGAATACAGGGTTCACCAACGCGGCCAGGACAGCAGGAAACACAACTGGAGGACAAGAAGAGGACAACAAAAGGACAACACCCGGACACAAGGTGGTAGGCGGTGCAGCCAGAGACTGGCCAATGTCTTTGTAAGAGAGAACCCCAAAAACACCAAACAGTAAACTCTTTCGGGAACCAAAAACACAAGAGCTACTAGGAACAAATTCGTTTCTAGTAACAAGAGCCTTACGAGTAGTAACAAGAAGAATTTAATTCTGATTAAACTATTCTTGTTACTACTAGTAAGGCACTTGTTACTAGAAGCGATGCACTTGTTCCTAGAAAGCTTAACAAACACAGAACCGAAAACTTCACGGTCCAATGCAGCCTCAGCCAACCGGGCTTCTGCCGCATCGGCTCGGGCATTGGCCTGTGTCAAGAGGATCTGAGTCTGTTGAAAAGCAGCGCCTTCTTGGTTTTGCTCAATTTGCCCAGCTTATCCAGCAAAACCGCCATATGAACTTCTGGATTAGGACCCAGGATTTTGGTGAACATCTGGCCATCTGAAAATTTCAGAGTCGCCTCCATCCCATGCGCGCCTTGGCAGCGGCAGCATCAGAGGCCCGGATGGATTCCAAGCACTGCTGTTGAGCCTGGCAGGTCATCTCTACCCAGTACCATGGATGCCACCAGTTACTCCCAGACATTGGTGAAGATTGACGAGAAACGTGTCAGCCATCTTGAAAGCTGATTTGCATGTCCCCTTTGTAGCAAGGGTGCGTCTAGCAAAGCTATTCAGATGTCCATCCGAGTTCCTTATATACTGATTGGACAACCCTTGCAAATCTCGCATTCAAAATCAGCAGCGCAGCAGTTGGAGCTTTTCGCTTGACCCTGCTAAAGGAGCTCATGCTCGAAGGCTAGGCCGCATGGCTTAAACAAAGAAGGAGATATTCATGGGGGAAGAAAGGGATCCGGATCATCAGAAGATGGTGTCAAAAAAGCATGCATGCAGCTGATGTATGGCCTTAGATTCACCAACGTATCATCCCAAATATCCTCAACTCACTCTCATGCAACTGCCTTTCCGTTCCTCACCTGGATGACCATCTCTTGAAGCTGGGCAGTTCTCTGGTCACAAAGCCTTTCTTGCAGCCACCGGACCACTGCATCTCCAAAAGGACATGTCGAGGTGTCCAAGTAATCAAGATATGATACGTTGAGGTCTGAAAACTGAAAGAGTTTGACCTAGTGGTGCTGTAGTCAAGACCCGTGTTAGCGAGGGGTAATGTGCATGTCAAGAATGAGTTCATGCTAGCTGCTAGAACACACAGCCCGCTACTTTTCTTCAAAACTCGCAAGTCAAGGCGGAGTCATCAGAGACATTTACGTCACCACGGTCAATTTATCCCAAAAATACAAAGTGTGTCAAGCAAACTCAAAGCTTCCCCCGGCACGAAGCATGGTCGCCACTACCGTTCTGCGGTCCCGCTCCTCACTGCAGCCGCTCGTTCTTCTTCGAGCTTCTCCTGTCATGATCTTACCTTGCTCATTAAGTCATTTAGATCTCATGCATACGTTCCTACCTTCTTTTCCGGTTTGTCCCTGCTAGCAGTTTTGCAACGGTTGAACACTGAATCAGCTACACGCAAGTCATTCTCACCCGAACGAGCCAGATCAAAAGCTCGGAAAAGACAAGGAAGGCCCATAGGATCATTGTTGGTGACTTCTATACTGTACTGTGCGCAAAATTTGGATTGTTGGGTGCCTTTCGATTGTCGATGGGTGATTGATAATCAAATCCACTGCTTCTTTGGTCCAGTAAGTTACGTATGATCCAACCAACTATGGGAAAGAAATTTGGCATCGGTCTGCTAGATTAGTGTCGGGATCGCATTGGCGAGATGACTGTGAAGTCTATGGCTGCTTTGTTGGAATTCATCTGGGCTTTCCAAGCCAAGTTGGGCTTTGACCCTATGAGCCATCATGTGAAGCATGCTATGATCCTGTGAATTGGTTGAGCGAGCGAGAGAGAGAGAGAGAGGGAGAGAGGGAGAAAGAGAGTTGGAACAGCTTGTGGATCTGGAAGTGTAGGCCCAGCTTCGGTTTGCATTCACTCAGTGGTCGATCACACCCGCCTGCTTTCTTCGCCCAACCTGCAAATGGTATCATTTCAGGAATGGCATCTCAAAGCATACGTATATAGCCAATCATTGTAACTAAACGATATAATGATGGTGATTATGATGCCATACACCGTGGATATCTGTACAAAGCGTAGGCGTAGGATATGGTTTCCGATGGCCGCGCGTTGGTTTCTCTCCAGGCAAGGATGTGTATCATCGTGAAAATATCATGTTTCTCCAAATGAATCACCGAGCCCCTGAAACATCGTCTGCTTCAATCATCCAGCCGACGAATTGCTCGATCGCCGATCAAAGTAGCCGATCGACGTCGATCGAGGAAAGCGATCGACTGGCGCCAGGGAACGACTACCCCAACGATGGAGGATGCGACAACGATGGACGCTACCCAGCCATTGCGCAAGCTAGCAGTCACAGTCAGGCCCTATAGCCTTTGCTTGTCATCATGGACTCTCAACCTGCGCTCAATAGCTTGCGGCATTCCTAGCGCCTTCTGTATCTCATTGCATTTTCTGAAACGTACAGATTTGAGCATTGCTTCAAGAGGGTTGGGCTTCTGTCAATGTTCTCGATCACCTTGAAGACTCGAAACAAGTTTTAACAAAGGAAGCCTGGATGACGCAAGAAGCGAGACAAAGGACAAAGCAATGCAACGACCATTCTACGCCACTACAGGAAGCCCAAGATAAGCAAGAAAACAACTGCTCCACAAGCATCCATGATGGCAGATTCATGATTGAATTCAACTCAAATATAATATACCTGCGCAAATCCCACCAGGTTTCAATGTCATCAACCTTTGTCAGATCCAAGGCTTGAATGCCCAGCTTCTCAATGAGCCTTTTCAGGTCATTACTCAACTTCGTTGGCAGGTTGTTGGTAACATCGGTGCTTCCCTTCTCCACCGGCAGTGCTTTCTCCAAGAATGGTTCCAAGCGGTCCCTCTCTGAAGCATTCAAATCATCAACAGCACCGCTGGTTAAACATGTGAAGAGAAGCAGTTGATCACGATTTTCTCTGATGTGTCCTGTCAGTCACGTACCAACTCCAGCAAATGCAATAGATATCAAAATCTCCACCTCCATTTCTCCGTCAAGGAGGCCGGACCCTAGACCAAGAGAGATTGTGTTCTGCATGAAATGAAAATTCTTTGCGGGCACACTCGTCCAGGAGCCCTCAGTAGCGTCCTTGCTCCTAGTAGTAAGGCCAGGAGCCCCGTTCGTAGCGTCGTAGCTGCAAAAGCATACCTCCAAACATCGCCGTAGTGGCCAAACAAACTTCGAAAGATTGTGCACTTTCTCATCGCTGATGCACCAGCAGTCAAACTTCTTACCAAACTCCTCAATAATTCTCCTAGCTCTCTTGCTCGGTTTGTTCGGCTCAGCTTGCTTTTTCAGCTGGGTCTGTTTCTTTTCCTCAGCCCGCTCTTAAGTTCAGCTTTCCTTTTCAGCTCCGCCAAGGAGCGGTGTTTGTGCCAATGAACTTGTGCAGAGACTTTAATGATATGCAGCAAAAGAATGTGCCAAAGCAACACTGATCCCAAGGAGAGTATCGGGAGATCTGTCGCAGCTGAATCTGCTCCACAACCAAACGCAATTCAATCTTCTTCTCCAAGGCTAGCCAGCAGGAGAGGACAAACAAGATGTCAGAGGCAGACGATGAAGCCAGCGATAACTTATCGATAACCAAACAATCAATTCTGCAACTTTTGCAATATGTTTTGGCGGCAGG